GGACGGCTGAAACAGCTGCCCTTCACCAACCCTACCGTCTGCTCTTTCGCCGACCCTCGTAATTCACCTACCTCCTATATCTAAAAAATAAAGCATGACCCCGTTGTGCCGTGTCATGTCCCGAGCGCTTGTGAAATTTCTCAGTGACAGCCAACCCCGGAAACGGCAAATTCATAAAACCATTCCTCACACCCACTCTGTCTGAACATTGCTGGAGATGTCGCGTGGGCGGTTGCCGGTCTCCTGCGAGTGACGTCCTGAGACCCCAGCATCGCGGAAGTGGGAGAAGCCGGGGAGAGGAGCACCTGCCGTTACGCCCCCCCCGCCGTCCTGCGGCACCCCAGTGTTGTTCGAAGAAGCGCCTACGGGCCAGGTCGCTCCGCCACCCCCACTGTACGCGGTCTCCGAGACATGCGTTTTGCCATCACGAAACACTTACTCTGCCCATGCCGCGGTGATGAGCTTGAGTTTCTTCACATCCAGGTACCTGGACCAACACGTATTGGAAGTAGGATCGTACAGGGGGCAGGGTGTCGATACCCCTTCGAACACAACACGCACGGGGGGGGGGGGTGTCTTCATTAGTGATATCTACCGAGCCGTACGTCTTCATTACGGGGCTTCATTCAGGGTTGTTGGCTGCCACCCGTGTGGCTCCACAACCCTTGCTTCAAGAATACGACGGGTGCATGAATGAATGAACCAACTTTTCAAATGAAGGAAGTAGTCAGTCTAGAAAGAGGGCGAGCGTTGCTGTCGTCGGAAATGGACAGTAAGTAATCGAATATTGACGCATCCATCTCACGCGTGGTGTTGGATTCCATAAAGAGACAGGCAAGCTGTTCACTTTCAGATTGTTAAATTCAATTTTCAAATATTTACATTCGAGAGGAATATTAATATACTGCTGTCGTCGTTGCTGACTTCGCTGACAATATGCGATATGTTTTTTTTTTATTGCACTTTCAAGAGTTGATGCTGACTCTTGTCGCTGCTGACAATATGCAGCGGCTAGGACATGTGTGCGTGGTCCATGGTGCTGTGGGTAGCCGAAACTTGTGTGCTAAATGCGCGGGTTCGTCTCGTCGGATTTGGCGCCAAATCGGGATCCATTGGATCTCCACCTTTTAAGCACCATGGTGCACACACAACGGTGGACTACGGCTCGTGAGACAGACATGTTTAAATGAGGTTGACTCAGCGTCCGACGGCTACTACTCTCTGCGAAATGATGGACGCCACCGTCTACAACAGCGCAAGGGAGATCGGACACTCACCATCACCTTTACCCGGCTGCGGGGTGCCGTTCAGGACAAGCTTGCCCATCGCCGCAACGTTGAGCTCTCGCGGGAGCTGCAGGTTCGCCGTCTCGACGAGGAAACGGAGCATGCCAGGGGCAGCGGCATCCCGGTAGGCCCGGGCTGCAAGGCTGTGGAGCTGGGCCCCCTTCATCGTGGGTTCTTGGGTGCAACGCTGCCCTACCCACATGAGCGCCACCGCTTGGTACTGGGAAACCAGCTGCTTGGGCATGTTCTCCAAACCGACGCCCCACAAATGGTTACCCCGGTTCAAGATTTGTTGTTGGATCGACTCATGTTCAAGGGGAAGTGCTTCTACTACCATCGTGACGGAGGGCGGGAGGCTGAGAGAGTGACAGAGGGCCGGAGAGTGTTGCTTGTGACGAGAGGGTGGCTATTGCGGCGATGTGCGATACTTTTTTTTTTTGACCGGCGGCGCAACTAAAACTGGCACACGCCACCTGGATCTTCACCAAATCCGTTTTTTTTTTTTTAACCGACCATAAGTGTTGATCTCAAGAATCGCAGCTGTTCTATGGATACCGTGGAATTTCCGCCCTGATGCTGTGGTTTCCAGCAAAATCGCAGACCTTCCATAAGATTTGGCCTAAGCGCGCTTGTACATCGCAGGCGTACTTAAGGCGGCGGTAGCGTAGGTCGCGGTTCAAGTTGTGCCGATTCGCGTACGATCGACGAGATCAAGACCCAGGGAAAGGCAACGCCTGTTGGGCGATACAACTTATGGTAAAAGACAGCAGCGACAACGGACTGTAAAAACAAAGTCGCCATATAGACTACTGTACAACATGCGTTATCCACGTCCACGCGCGGCACGTTGTATTCTACAGACAGCTTGTTCGCCACCAACGAAGTTGAGTCAAGAGTCAAGAGAGTAGATCGGGGGCATCGCAGGTGTAGAACAAAGCCCGTTCGTTCATGATAAATAAACATGAACAGCCCAGCATCACCCCGTTCCGAGCTACAAGGCGGTACTAGTGTCTGCGTCGTTGCATACTCGCACAGCCACCGGCTGCACGCTCCCAAGCACCCCCCCTTCCTTCTCTCTCCTTCTCTCTCTGTCTCTGTCTCTCTCTCGGCCTCACCGAACATCCTGCTGGGATGACCTCTGACGACGTTGCACTCCTCGATTCTCGTGGCTGTCACCAGCGTTGAATTGAGGCGGGGTTGAGAAAAAAACGGCACACACGCTGAGGAGGAGAAACAGCGAGGCAATGCTCAGCCGCCTCATGGTTCACACGCGGCGCGATCTTGGCGTGTGTTTTTTTTTTGTTTGTTTCTCTCCCATCATTGGACTCTGCCGTCTGCCCCTCTGGCCCCTATCCTCCACTTCTACTGGCTAGACGACCCAACCGGGGTCACATAGGAGGGGGGGGTTGGACCCCCTCCTGCGGTTCATGCCTGAGGTATTTTTATCGCGAGAAGGGTGCAGCAATCCCTTCCCTCGCGACTTACGAAGTCGATTATGGTTTACTAACAAACGAGCTTGCAGCGCGTCGCTTTCATCCTAGACCAGGATTTATTTAGCGAGAAAAACACTCTCTCTGCCGGGACTCGAACCCATGACCTGGCCCTTAGCAGGCTGCGAGGCTACCCACTAGACCACCGGGGCGACCAGTGTGTGTGTGTGAGTCTCAAATGCAGATGAGATGACAAACCAAAACCAAGCAGCTCAAACCAAGTGCGGGGATGAAATGACCCACCTCCGTATTGTGAACCAAAACGCCATCAGCGGCCATGACCCCAGGGGAAACATGAGCAACCATCCCCGCCCCCGCGCCCTTCAAGCAATGTAGGTTCTCAGCGCGAACGAACATGTAGTGCTGCATGCCGCATGTTCGCGCGGACAATTAAAAGGGAGGTTGCCGTGAGCGCTCTCGGAGATACCCTACCGCCACCGCAGACAACAGCACCAAACCTCACCTCTCCTATCTGCTGAACCCAAGGTCTGGCGAAAAATCGAGCTGAATGCGGAGTGGCGCTCTCCATTTACTGCGACTGCTACAACATGATGGGAGAGTAGGCGGATATTCGTCCAATTCACAACCGTGACGCGCCACGCAGCAACAGGACGAGCAACAACAACGACCTCAACACTTGATACAGGAAACTGGGAATGTATTGTACCATATCCCAAACCCACGGAAGAATGCAAACTCTCGACCCATCACTACAACATGGTTCTTGTTGTGGTCTAGAGACATCCAAGCGGTGATGGTGAAGCTTGGATCTGCATTCCATAGTTACGGCCGGACCAAGTGAGCTACGGGTATGGTATGTACATTTGTAGTCCCCTCGAGAGCGACGAGAAAGAGTGCAGTCGCTTTCGCGGCAAGGGAGCGAAGACGAGAACAAGAACTTCAACATGCCTAGTCTATTGCTGCTTTATTGCTCTTCATCGAACCACCGTGCTGGGGTGGGTGGTTGACTTACAAACATGTTGCTGATGGCGTCATGAGCGCTCTGGACAGATAAATAGCAGGTTATATTCAGAACCCGATACATTAAGGTCGAAGTTCGCGCAACAACTACCAGTAACTACAGTATATTGCCGGATACCAGATTACCGGACGCCTCTGGTTCAACCCCGTCAACCCGCGAGCTTCGCAACGTTTGATGTCGGATGATTTTTTGAACCGAACGATCGTGGCCACCGTGTACATACTGCAGCAAGCAGCATATTAGTAGTCTAGACTATACCGTTCGGTTTCAGAATCACATTGATCGATTAAAGTATTTTGATTGGCTCATGCAACGAGCGCGATCATGCAAGCAGCAACTCCTCGAGCAGACAGAAGAAACAAAGATCACGAAAAAGAGCCGGAATCACATGAATGAGCAGCATGACCTCCTTGTTGAATGGAAGGGCACACAGACTCAAAACTACATTGAAAAGGACACTTGCCGGTGGCTACTTTGTTCCTTGAGGGCACCGAAATAAAAGAAAAAGAAGAAAAAAGGACATATCACCGCATGCAGACTCAAACAACGGGCTCTCATGTCGCGGCAAATAGCAATACCCGGGCACTTCGAACAAGAAAAACAGTGCACGAGTGCCACGCCGTACGATACTTCAAGGCAGCATTCAAGCACACCCTGCAACCGAACCCTCTTGTGTGTGGTTGGCGTGAAAGAACGCTCCCAAAGAAATAACGCATCCAATTTCAACGGCACGGGACGTCTGTACTCAAATCTTATCCCAAGTCGCGAGCACACACATATTCGACTTCCTGTGTACATTTTGCACCTCTGGGACCGAAGAGATTACACTTCATCATGACGATGAAGCCTCCGCAGTAACACCCACCGGTGGCAAAAATGGGAAAGCTCATATTGGCCCAAGCGAAATGGAAATCGATCATGAAGCAGCAACGCCACGAACCAAGAACAACAAAACGGAAACGAACAAGGGCCGAAATCACACAACAAATGAAACCGGAGGCAAAAACATCTACAAAAAAGCTGCTTGTTCGGCTCGCAAGGATGACACGACAACACAAAGCTGTTTGGCTCTCAGCACAGACCACCCCCTCTTCCATTGATCGGTCGAAAACTCCAAGAGCCTACAGCAGACGTCCAAACAACCAAAGGTCTGGGTACTTGTCGCAAAAACAAATGGTTGTTGGGACGACTTGCGCTAGAGGTTCCCGGGCCTGGATGCCCAAGTCGTACTTGCCGCCTTGCGACACGGCAACCCCGTCTTTCGTGACACGGACTTCATACGTGGAATATTTCTGTCGAAACCCGAACCAGGAAGGCCCGGGCTTTCGAAGGACGATGAATCCGTCCACCGAGACCTCCTGCGCAGGTGCACATACGTTGCAGCGGTTGCAGCTTTTGTTAAGGAACATGGCTTGCTGTAGATGTAAAGTGGGGAGACTCAGTGTGCCTGCGACTCTCCTCTGACCATGTGTGACTTCTACCGAAAAAAAAAAAGTAGCGAGGGGTAGCTCATCGACGAAGGAGAGGGGTACACGCCAGTTTCCAGCGAGGCGAGGGAGGGCGGATGGGAAAGTTGTTTGCCGGATGCATCGAGAGAAGCCGCCCGTTTGCATCAAATCATGAGACGACCTGAGGAACGATGCCAGTAAACATCATCTCGCATGATTTGCATCCTACTACCACAGCTACAAGTCTTGCCGCCAGACAACGGACCAGGTCTCCCTCGTTCGTGACGGAGAGCGTCGCCTCCCCTATGTGCGCAGCCGCGTGCTTCCTCGCTGGTCGCCGGCGGAAGCCGTGCTTTCCGAAGGGCAGAAAGCCCAAGACGGTGACCATGTTCGACTTCTTGAGAATCCGACCCTCGATGGCTGCCTTCTTCGCCTCGTCTCTCGCTTCCGTGACTTCAGCTCGGAGCTTCTCCACCTTCGACATGCGTTGGTGACACCGTTTCGATGGTCCGGTCCTCGAGGTCCCCCGACGGCCTTCCGGTGGCCGTGGCGTGCACGACGGAGCCGTCGATGGACGTGGCGTACACCATGGCCGTCTTGGCGGCGTTCGGGAGTTTCCCGTGCAGGAAGTCTCCGACACGCAAGACGAAGTTCGGGTGAAATTCGAAGGCGTCGGGTGAGTACGTAGGTCCTTTCTTGTCGTTGCCGTTGCTGTTGCCGTTGTCGTTACTGCTGCTGCTGCTGCTGCTGCTGCTGCTGCTGTTGCTGCTGCTCTTGCTGTTGCTGTTGCCGTCGTCGCTACCGTCGCTCTTGGGGTGCCTCTCGTCCTGTTGATCCTCCTGCTGTATCGCCGCTTGGTTCTCTGCTGCGACCCCCGAGATAGATTCGTGAATAAGCGAAGCATCCTTTCCTTCGTCATCACCCTTTGTCTCGCCGCCGTTGTGGACCGAGGCGAGAAGATTGTGCCGTTCACGGGCCCTCTCCACCACGTCGCCCACATTGGGGTTGTCGCCGGCCCAATGCACCAGCTCGGCGATCATGAGCATAGCCGCCGTCCTTTTTCGTTCAGCTTTCGCGAGGTCCGACGAAGTGCTCTCAGATGGAGAATAAACAGAGGACGTGACCGTGGAGGTGGGGAAGGCATAGTGAGCCGGGACGTTCTTGTCGCCATCACCATCGTTGGGGTCGGCAGCAGTGGAGGACGGCGCAGGGTCGGGCTTGTGGAAGGAGGGTTCTTTGAGCGAAGAAACCAGGTCGGACACGTGCTGCTGTTGTTTGGATTCGCGCGGTACGTGGGCGGGAGACCGCGGCAGCGATAGAGGGGACGTGGGGAGGCCAGTCAGTGCAGTGTATTGTCAATACACTTCCCACAACAAATGGCGTTGAAAGGCAGGTAGGATTCAAAGACGACACGCAAATTCAAGATCTCGTGACCACCCGCTATCCCCCACCCAACAGTTCGCCAACACATGTATGTTCTGCAACAATATTAACAGTGCCGATGAGAGAGTCTAGCGTCCTCTAGACCCTCGAATGGCCTGAACCATGTCAATAAAAAAATGTAAGTAATCACGGTCCTCGTACAATACGGCATGCATGCAACACCAGGACCTCGCTGCCTCCATGCGCTCGCCCCTGAGAAATGGGCTACTCCCGAGACGCAACCGACAGGTATGTGCGCCTCACCATGTCGCTGACGTCTGCTGCTGCAGCCGCCGCCGCTGCTGCTGCTGCTGCTGCTGCTGCTGCTGCTGTGGCTTTGGTGTTCTCACATGCACAGATGGATGAAAGCGGTGTCGTGTGGGTCGGAGACCAAGGCCTAGTCCTGTCGGGCGACGACATGGTCACATACACGGCCAACTCTGTTGTTGTGTCTGCTGATAAGATGCATGCACATACATGACCACGGAGTTGGCCGTGTATCATTATTTTTATTTCTCCCATCATTGGACTCTGTCGTCTGCCCCTCTGGCCCCTATCCTCCACTTCTACTAGCTAGACTACCCAACCGGGGTCACACAGGAGGGGGGGGCTGGACCCCCTCCTGCGGTTCATGCCTGAGGTATTTTTATCGCGAGAAGGGTACAGCAATCCCTTCCCTCGCGACTTACGAAGTCGATTATGGTTTACTATCGACGAACTCTGCAGCGCGTCGTTTTCATCCTAGACCAGGATGAATTAAGTGAGAAAAAACTCACTCTGCTGGGACTCGAACCCATGACCTGGCCCGTAGCAGGCTGCGAGGGTACCCACTAGACCACCGGGGCGGCCGGTATGTGATCTTGTTGTTGCCCGACAGGACTGAGCCTTGACTTTCAAACCACCCCGCACCGCGTTCGTCCATCTGTGCATTTGCGAACATCAAATCGACAGCCTCGTCAGCATCAGCATCAGCAGACGTCGGCGACATCGTCGTTGGTGTTCGTCACGTAAGATAACTCAACATAACTCTACACGTTGCGTGTCTCGATCGCTTGTCTAACCGTGCAACGCATGTATTAAAAAGAAATAGACTCCCTCACGGGGCTAATTTCAGCCGGCCCAGTGAGCTACATGGACTACTCCCGACGCAACTGACGTGTGCGTCTCACCATGAGAAAACTCAAGAACATGTTTTGCATGTACCTTCGAAGCAGACACAACGACGGATGTGGCCGTGCGTGTGACCATGTTGTTGTCCGACAGGAATACGCCCTGGACTCCGACCCACACTTACACCAATCTCACACAATTTTTTTCAAGTGTCCCATGGGCTGCCCATGGGTGCCCCATGGGGTCGCCCATGAGCTGCCCATGGGCAGTCCATGAAGTGCCCATCATGGACTGCCCATGAGCATGCTCATCATAGGCACATGGGCAATGGGCCGCCCATGGGCAGCCCATGGTGAGCATTCACGCGAACTCCCACCATAGGCAACCCATGGGCTGCCCATGGGCTGCCCATGAGCCGCCCATGGGCACGTGCACCATGGTAGGCAGCCCATGGGCCGCCCACCATGGGCACGTGCCCATAGTGGGCGGCCCATGCCCATTGCGGGCGGCCCGTGGGCGGCCCATCATGGGCACTCACGAGACTGCCCATCATGGTGGGCACGTGCCCATCGTGGGGTTACCCATGGGGTGTCTATGGGCACCCATTGGCACCTTCGCAGCCCTCGGGCAGTGCCCAGTACCCCGTATTGGGCACTGCCCATTGGCAGTCCATGGGGGCAACCCATGACAGTCACTCGGGCACTGACGCCACCGGCGATCATGGGCTGCTCTTGGCAAATTTAATTGCCATGATGGGCTGCCCATGGTCCGGCTAGCGTCGTGGGCACCCACGCACATGCCCCACAAGGGCTGCCCGTAGGCCGGCCATGGTGTGTATACATGGAAATCTACGCAGACATACAGAAAATCATCCATGCGGATTATGACGGGTAGTGTGTTTGCACTTCCTGTGTTCGTTAGCCATGAATTGTGAACCAGACATGGTTGGAGTCCACTGTTTGTTACGGTGGGGACGTGCAATGGATGTCCGACAGATACAGGTGGCACTCATAAACCAATGAGAGCTCCTGGATAACTTCCTGGACGCAATGGTGGTGAAAATCAATTTTCATAGGGAGCTTGCTTGCCCTCGTCCTTGGGGTGTCTACGAGGAGTTTATTATTACCGAGCGCCCAAGAGCACCTTCGGGTGAGCATTTCTCTGTCGGGGGATGACATTGATGCTCAGGGATGTCCTCTCTTCCTCCGCGAAAAATAAACATCCTCGCTTTCGTCAACCTTCCAAACGTCTACACCCGCCACCTCAATGTTTGGTGGCCTTGACAAGGCATAGTGGTACGGAAATACGTACGTCCTGCACCACTCAGGGCTAACGTAGATCATAGATCATGTGTTGAGAAGCACGATGACCGCTAGTTAGACCACTAGTCAGCGCTGACTGGTGGTCTAGTGGTGCTCGTGCTTCTCAACATCATGCATCATACTGCAGATATGACATGCATATGTTTGGGTTTAGTCTAAAGCTAACGAATCTGTCTGCGGAAGGAATGGCGGCCGTAGTATGTAGCACATGCAACGTGTGCTCGAGGAATCGTGTAACTCTCTCGCTCTCTCTCTCTCGCATGGACTTCTCTAGATGGCCATGGCTCTTAACCTTCATTGTGATCTTTAGTGAATAGGTATATTCTGGACTCTACTGCCACTGAAGTAGTAACAATGTCTCTGCGTTGGGTCAATGTCGACTTGCAAGGTGCCGACTTAGCTTTGAGTGTTGCTCCTCAACATCACCCCATCACGGACGCTGTACATTTGCGATGGTGCAATATCTGTGAAACGTACAATACTCACAGCAACTATAACAAGGTGAAAAGCACGTCAAGAGAAGACGGTGGTACCGAAATGGTGCGACTCCCACCTAATGTTCTGCCTGTGGAGGCACCTGCACCGTCACTGCAGTTGCTGTACAGCTTTCCTTCAGCCGTAGCTACAAAGCAGCTGACATGTGGTGCGAAGTCACGATGGGAAACACACAGAGTGATGATATTATCCACACAGACACCCAACATGCAAGTCAGGGTTAGAGACTTGGGAAAGCCTCCATATAACCGCATAAATCAATGCAGTACACAGAATAGAGTCGTTCTTGTACTCCAAATACTCCAACACTGCCCCCTAGGGCTGAAGCCGGCCAGCATGCGTGCAAACAGGCACCTACAGGTACACGTTCCCCAGACGTTAACCTCGCGGATCTATTCCTCAGTGACGGTGGTTGTCTCTTTGTCCCATCAACTCCCAACGGAGACGACGAATAGCTCAACGATGATTACACCACAGACACTTGAACCTCTCGTGGTGCACGTGAGGTCGACGTCGACGCTCCTGAAGGCCTTCGCACAGAACGGTGGCACTACCCAGGCCCCCCAAAGTGTTCCTGGTAGACTCTGCCCCACCCGACGTGTGATACGCAACAAGAAAGGCATCATTGAAGCACTACAGGTGGCCTGGCCCAAGACGTGTCCAACATTACATGTTGATATTATCAGGAGAAGGTCGGGTGGCATCCGAGGAGGTTGTCCTGGAGAAGGAGCCGAACGAGAACCTGTTGGTTCAAGAAGAACTGGCGTAGCACCCGCGGCTTCTGCTTCACGACGTACCCGAAACCTGGCAGGTTAGATGAAGAAGTGCGGGATACTTTGGTTCACATCCATACGAAGGGGTCAGGTTAACAGCACGTCTGCCAAGGGTGGCATATCCGACGAATACTCGCGACGAGTGCGTCGGCTTAAGGGATGATATTGTTGGTCGAATTTACGAGGATCGAGTGTGAGGCTGGTTACAAGGAAGTGTTGGGTCTGCCTATGTGCGTCATGGTGTTGAGCGCCTCGTTTCCGTCTCGTTTCGTAGTTGCCACAAGAGGGAAGTGGCGAACGGAAGCAAAAAAACGTGTGAAATACCACACAAGATAATATGAATAATATGAAAGGCAGGAATAACGGTACGCATTTCGAGTGGCGACAGCATTACGTAAAAACACCCGTCCCGGCCCACAGTTGGAAATCCGAAGCGCATACATAGGCCGCTGACGTAAGGTTAGATTATACCTAATACAGATGCAGAAGAAAACACGTACCTGCTGCTAATCGCGGCGGACCTGCTCAGTTGGAGCAGAGATTACGTTGGAAACACTTGACGCTCAACGTCAGTAAGTGACCATGGAGCGAGCGAGGGTAATTTACATGTTCCCGGGATGATGCCAATCGACACCCGGCAACAATGAGTACTCCGACGACGCTCGGCCCATGCAAGGTTAGCTAGATATGCCTCATACCCGTCAACCAATGGTGGACGCTCTCCGCCATGCTGCTGTTCCACAGGAACGTCTCGTTCCCCTCGAGGTCTAGTCTACATGCCACAAGTGCGGATCGTCCCGGGGAGGTCTAGGTGCCCCGGTGAGGGTGGGGAGGCTTCAAAATCGGGTTTTATTTGACCGCTGCTTTCACATTCGTACTCAATGTATAGTCGTCGGCCTTCGGAACTATCGCGTTTAACCCGCGAAGCTCATAGTGCGACAACGCATGCGTGTCGATGTCATACTACGGCAAAGGACGGACTCTTGGATCTTTGTTGAATCATACTTGTAGTCTCAGTGCCGCAAGGAATGTGCGGATGAACATATTAGAGTTTTGCTCCTCAGCAGAGTGGTTTTGCTTTTGTAGTTGTGTACCTGCGAACGGATCTCGCATGCATTCAATGAAGGGCGGTGGTCCGTGCTACTTGTGGCAACACGAAGGTTGGCGTATTTCGAAATTAGCATGTCGCAGTGCCCGCCACATTGTCGGGTAACGGAGAAGATCAGATGCTAATCGTCCTGTCGTTTTGGTCTTCTTGTTTTGTCCGCAATGCGCATGTATTGCGTTACTATGTAGGGAGCTGAGAGTCTGCCACTGCACGTGTTCCACCTTTCCTGGGAATTCACAGCAGTAATGGGACTCTTGGGCATGTTTTGGGCATGTTTTCCTGAAATAAATGTGTGTGCCAGTGCCGCAAAGACTCTCTCTGTGGACGAACGTGCTGGCATGTTGCTCCTCAGCAGAGTGTGGTATTGTTTTACTGTACTGTGGTCTAGTCTACTGTAGTTGTGTGGAGGGAGGATTTGGCGTGTAAACTCATCCCACAACGTGTAATCCCGTGATAGTCGAGAGGCTTGCATGTTTCATATTTTATACCATTTTGCAGTGCCACGTTGACGGGTGTCAGGGGAGATCGGACTGCAGTATACGTCATAGGTCCTTCCTCGATCGCTTGCTGTCGGCATCAGGAGGAATGCCATTTTACCAGCGGTGCGGATACTCGGCAGTGGTTGGACTTTTGGATGCTTTACACGCGTGCGCCAAAGCCCCATGTTGGTGAGGTGGATTATGCCATCCTTACGAAGGCTACTGCGGTAGTACGCATGTTTGGTTTTGAGCTTCGTCAGGGCGCAAGTACGTGGCCGTCCATCGGTCATTTGGATCTCCGGGGTATCTCCGGTAGTGGTATCTTTGGCAAGTTGTCACGCGTTCCGTGCTGTCATGTGTTCCGAGTTCCGAAAGTGTCTTGCGACTGTTGCTCGCGTGCCTCGGTGTTTGTGATGCACTCTGGTGCCCATTCTCTTCCGTTGCCTGTGTCTACGAGGACGACCAAGAAACGACTTAACCACCTCTTCACATTGTCAACCGGGACAGCCGTGCTTATCCAGCAGCACTCGGCTTGGGGCCAATCAACACCCGCCCATACCGGTGAACCTTTATGTGTACGGACGTATAGGCGTCTTGGTCGTCGGTGGCAAGTGGTTACTATTGTGGCGTAATGAATATGATGGGGGGAGGATTTAGCATGTTTCTGGAAAGCCTGTTGCGCCGTTATATCTGGTCGTGGGTCTGCGAACATTGGTGTTGGATACACTGTACGAAGATATGGATCGTGCGGCGCTCGAGGAGAGGGTGCGCACCTTGCGAGGAAAGGGGGGGCTCGACCACGCGGGCGTGCGGGCGAAGGCCCGGGCTCGATTGGCGGCAGCTAAACGGCGAGACAGGGCCTCAGAGATCGAGGAAAAGCATCGAGAGTGGGCCGAGCTGTACCTGTCACACGCCAAGGACGAGCTCAGCCGGTTGCAGCGGGGAGTGAAGGAAGATGAGCAAGAGGTAAGTGCAAAACAGTCCAACTTGAGGGCAGATGTCAAGGTAGTGCTGCGAATCCTGCATTTACGTGCTTTTGATTTGAGTGCACACAGCAGGCAGAGACGTATGTGCGTGATTGGACAGAGATTAGTTCAAATGTGTACGTTTATCCTTCGACCGATGGCAATGCATTAATTGTCTCTCGCCCGCCCTCCATGTCTCGGTCGATGTCTCCTGGTGTAGTTCGGTGAGAGACTTCAGTTCAAGGACGAGGGGTCGCAACACCAGCTCATGAAGGTGATGGACCAGATCTACGCGCTTAAGACCCTCTACCGGAAGCTTGTGGAGGGTGGAGACCGAGACGATTGCATCGAAGCAGCGGCTGATCATGTCCACGTCTCCGTGCACACTATCCAGGAATGGGATTCCGACTTCCGGACAAACGGCAGGCTGGAGGTGAATTGCCAGACGATTACATAATAAACGGCGAGATCAACCCTATCGAGTTGGTGTGGGGGCGATCCAAGTACATGGTGCGAAAGCTCTGCGACTATAAGACAAAGACCATGCTGAAGAGCATTCCGTTGAGCTACGCGTGGATGGATGTAGCTCTAATCGAGAAGTACGTCCGCAAAGTCGACGTATGCCACACGGTGTACGCCGACAGGCGTAAGTACCTGGGCAGGGCAGCGGAGGAGCACTACGACGCCCTCAAAAAGCTGCGAGGGAAGGTTTACAGTTCGCACAGGGGTGTACCTCTTGCGCACTGCTTCCCGGAGCGTTCTTAATATTTTCATTTATAATAGCTGTCGGGTGTTGTTGCTATTTTTTTACTTCATGCATCGCGATCGACGTGGTCATGAAAGCCAAGTGGAGATCATCTATAATATGTACGGCTGGAGTCATTACGATAAAACGGGCAAGCAAACCTTGGTCGAACACCTGTACTGTACTTCCTGTAGGACTGTAATCTATGTTGAATTTAAACGAGTGTGGCGGGCCCGGATGTCGGAGCAGCCGCGTACTTCGCATGACAGCGGTGGTAGTATAGTTCATACTGTAAGCGGATGGATATTGACTTTGAAGCAATACTTTTTGGGGGGATTTTCGCGGGGACTCCGTCGATGTGTTCGAGTATTTCGTGGGGGGTACGGGTGTAGTTGAATATAGACGCGCGTGGGGTGCATGGGTTTCGGAGCAGTCGCGTGGCAGCGCACGTGAAAGTAATATTTTTTGGCGGGGTTTTCGGGGACTCCGCAGGTGTATTTGGGTGTTTTGGGGGGGGGTAGTCGAATGACTAGCCATGATTGTTACTGTTTAAGCATACCCTGTTGGTGTGCCAAACGAAAATGGCCATCCACATGCTTTTTGTGCCCCCAAACAAACCAAAACAGGCTCTCCGCGACACAAAAGCCTTCCGGACCATCCCCGCAACGGAAAAAGCCTGGGTGGAAACCCCGAAAAATTAAAATATGCTCTAATTCATCTCAAATTTTCTGAGCATGCTTAGAATTCAACAGGGATCACGAATATGGTCTCAGATTTTTCAGTTCCAAATCAGTCGAAAGTTATCGACGTGCATCGTTTTTGGGGTTTATGGAATTTTCCACTGCTGTACATGTGCTGGATGATCATGTGTCGCGCAGACTGGAAAGATTGCCGTTTGGTAGGGGGCATCGCGATGATTCACGGGGCCCCTTCTTTTTGCTGGGGAGCCGCTCTTTGAGCACTCCCTCTTTCGTCCGTGTGAAGGACGGTCGTCGACCTCTTGTGAAGTTAATACATCACCAAAACAGTCTCACCCGATAAGTATGTGGCATAGGTCTAGGCCACAAACACTCTGAGTAGTTTTTGCCCCTCGAGGGAAGCCACATTGTGATGAGCTCTGCTGGAGACGAAGAGCGCACTGCTGCGAGCGGAGAACAGATCCGCTCGCCGGTGGAGGAGGGCCACGATGCAGAGCTTGCAAGTTTGCAACGGCAGATTTCGCAATTGGCGGCCCTGGTGGAGGAGTCGGTGAAGAAGGAGCCTGGCAGCGTCGTGGCAGATGCAGCCAGTAGTGGTGGCTGGGTTGCCGCCACCGAAGGCCAACAAGCGCCTCCGCTGCCGCTCGGCGGTGGCGAGGGATTTCTCCAGCAGCAAGCGAGAGATAGTGGGCAAGGACCACGGCAGCTGCTGGAAGGCGGCTGGGCCAGCAGATCGGGAGCGAACCCTGTTCGACCAGCCGGAGTGGGCCCGGGCATAGGACCGGACTACGGGGAAGCAAAGGGGTTAAACCCCCCAGGTGAGATACCCGTGATTCGAGGAAATGGAGAATTCCTCGATGGCTACAGCAGTAGCCACAGGAAAAGAGTAACAGTCAATGCCCCGCGTCTCGAAGGGGAGAGTTGCGGCCATGGGTATGACTCGTGGAGAAAGTCGCTTATCCAAGCGGCCAAGACTGTAGGACTGGACGACCAATTGATCGGCAACAACGGGGAACATGCACCTGTCGGCAACCCAAACGTGCCAAGCTCGGAGCTGTACCGCCTCCAATACACCAGCGACGAGGTCCAGAGGGGCCTCCAAGCGTTCCATTTTGTGACCACTGCCATCGTCAGCGAAGCCGACAAGGCGATCATGAACAAATGCGAGACCGCAACAGAGATCCTCGCGGAACTCGACAAAATCTACGACCCGGAATCGCAGGGCTCGAAACAAGCCCTCATGACGCAAATGATCAACTTCACGATCCCCACACACAGCAACAGCAACCCCATCGAGCACGTCTACTCACTCGAGCTGCTGTATGCCCGCCTACGCAAAATGGGGCTCAATGCTGAACAACCCTTCGTTCTCGCCCACTTCGTTGGTTCCCTCCCACCCGAGTACCAACAAGCGAAGTTCCTGTTGGAGACAGCAACGGCGCTGGATAGGGCCGAGATCGTCAGGATCGTGAGCACGGTGCACGCGAGCCTCCCGGAGGGAAGGAAGGCCTCGAAGGGCCAGCGNGGATAGGGCCGAGATCGTCAGGATCGTGAGCACGGTGCACGCGAGCCTCCCGGAGGGGAGGAAGGCCTCGAAGGGCCAGCGGAGGGCGGAGCACGCTCTCCTGGCGAGCGACCGCAGCGGTGGAGGAGGATCGCCGGGCCGCGGCAATGGCGGCCGCCGCAAGGGTGGCGGCGGCGGCGGCGGCGGCGGCGGCGGCAACCAGAAGGGGAGAGGGGG